GGCCAAGACCACATACGCCAACGGTACCGTTGTGTGTCGTGTGTGTGCGTGTGTACAGATCTCAAGGGAGCATCTGCCAATCTCCAAGAGCCAAGACTCGCGGTGTCTGTGTCGTGTGTGTGTGTGTTATTGCTTGGAGGTGGATGTACTGACATCTACGAGATGGCAACGTACACAGAGCTCACCAAGGACCCAATCATTGACACACACCTGTCGGAGCTTGAGGACACACTGCTCGAGCAGAACTTGTGCCGCATCATCGAGCCCTTCTCGTGCGTCGAAATCGCCCACGTGGCCAAGATCATCGACCTCCCCATCCACAGCGTGGAGAAGAAGTACGTGGCGCACAGAATCGTCTTTTCCCTCGAAAGCTCCACCCCACCCCACCCCACCCCGGGCACAACCATCAATGAAACGTCTAACTCGGATGGGATGCACGTGCGTGCTGCCTGCATGCAGGCTGTCTCAGATGATTTTGGATAAGAAGCTGCTCGGTGTGCTCGACCAGGGCGCCGGCACGCTCCTCATCTTCGACGAGCCGACCGCTGACGTACGTTCACCGTCCCCCCCCCACCGGTCTTCGTGGGCTGTTGATGGGTAGGCAGAACAGCGCGTGTTAAGTAAGTCTGTAATAATGCCTGATGTTCTGTGTGTGTGTGTGTGTGTGTGTTGCCTCCTCACCGGGGTGTTCGATGGTGTGCGTGGCGTGCTGCTGTAGCGCACGTATCCCGCGGCGTTGGAGACGGTGCAGGGTATGAACAAGGTTGTGGACAGCCTCTTCGAGAAGTGGGCCAAGGTGGGCGCCGACTTTGTATAAAACAGCTGCCTCCTCCTCCCCACTCCCTTTCCAGCTGTACACGACATCTTCTTCAGCTTCCCTCGGGCAAGACGCCGGCCCTCTGCCGAACATTTTTATTTTCTTATTTTTCTCTTTTTCTTTCAAAAGGGAAAGAACCTGTTCTGCGGCCCACAAAGCGTTGAGGCCAAAACAGCACTCCGTGCTGGGCACTGCTCGTGTTGCGCACATTCAATGGATTCGCCATCTTTTCTTTCGCGAGTGCGGGCTTGGGTCACATCCCCGACGACGACGGGAAAGCGTAAATTGATTGATCGACAGCTAACAGCGGAAGATGAAGAGGGGCTCAGCTTGCGAAGACCCTGCAAACGTCGCCACATTCCCGCCGAGGATATGCTGGAGTACGCTACTTCCCGCCATTTTGTGATTTCGGGAAGGAGAAGCCCTTTTCTCATCGCTTGGTGGCTGGCTGTACAGTGGTCCCGAGCAATTGCAGCGGCTACACACATTCGGCATCTCTCCTCCCACTACTACATCATCAACTGCCGCACTCACCACGCCTACCAGTCGCATTGCCACCTTCTTGACGCCCTTGATCAAGCAGGTACTTGTGCCTAACGGACGGGCCTTGGCGTCGGCCCTCTTCGCCGTCTACGGCGACATCGAAACCTCCTCTACCCCCTCTTACTCCACCGCCACCTCCTCTTCTTGTGCCACCGCTCCCCCCACGCCGCCACTGCCAACCGTCCGGCAACCGGCGAGCGCGCCGCCGTCGCCGCCCTCCTCGACCTCGCCCTCCTCGCCGCCCGACACCGACTCCAGCCAGTACACCTACATCGACCTCACCAACGATGACTACGACTACGACGACAATCGCGGCGCCCAGCAGGCCTTGCACGACGGCAGCCTCCAGCTGGGAGAGCACTATCAGGCACACGAGGACGACGACACAGAGTGGGCCGAGGAGGAGCAGGAGCAGGAGGAGAGCAGCGAGGAGGCGGCGCGCAGGCTCGAACAGGAGCGGTCGGTCGCCGAGCGCGAATGGCGGGAGGGTCCGCTAGCCGCCGCCCTGCGCGAGGCTGCCCTCGCCCCTCCCACTTTGTCCTCGCGACCGCGCGCCCCCGACCTCCTCTACGATATGGTGCGTAGGGCGTCTATTCCCTTCCCCACCCGCCAAAGCTGTCGTGTTGCGTGCTCTTCTCTTCTCTTCTCGTCTCTCTCTCTCCTCCCCCCTGCCTCTGTTGACCCCTTCTTTTGGTGGTTCTTCGCACGCAGCGGCGGTTCGAGGAGCGGGAGGCGTTTAGGGACGCACTGCGGGTGAACCGCCGTGGCCGACGCACCGACCGCCGCGACCACAGCCTGCCGTCCACATCGACATCGACATCGACATCGTCGATCCTGGATTCGATCGTGGCAGACCGGCTGCGGAGGTCACCGCCGCCCGACCTCCGACAGACAGCGAGGCGGCGCTCGCAGCACTCCTTCTCCTTCTCCTGTGATCACCACCACCAGGAGGAGGAGGAGGAGCCGAAAGAGGAGCCTGAGGCAGCCGATGACGGTGAAGCCGAGCAGGACGAGCTTTCATTCCCGTCCTCAGGGAGAGGCGGCCGCACGACGTTCGAGCACGAACGCCTCTTCTGGACGTCCCTGGCCATATGCGAGAGTCGCAAGCGAGTGCACGATCACAACAGCGCTGACTGGTACACCCCACCGCACCACCGCCGCACACGGCACGACACGCGCAGGCACGTCAAACTGACCCGGGAGGGGCGATTACTCGACCGGTGCATGCACAGGTTGGCGGCGATCAACAAATCGCGTGCCGAGCTGGAGAATGAGCATTCGGCATTTGAGCGCGCGTTCGTCAGGCTGCGGCTAAAGGAGCAGCGGCGGCGCCTGAAGAAGGCGCGGGCGAAGTGGCTCGCCGACGACCGACGCCCGTTCACGCTCGAGGAGAAGGCTCTCACATCGCGCGTGCTCCGAGGCCGCGCCGCCGAGGTGCTCGTGACGGGCTTCAACACGGAGCTCACCCGCCAGGATCTCCAGCGTCTGCGCGACACCGAGTGGCTCAACGACGAGGTCATCAACTTCTATCTCAGCCTCCTCAAGCAGCGCTCTGACGACCGCCTCAAGAAGGCCGATGCGCAGCAGGCCGCCGCCGGGGAGGCGTGGCCGCGGGTGCACTTCCTCAACACGTTCTTCTACCCGCTGCTGTCGGACAAGGGCGGCTACAACTACGCGCGCGTCCAGAAGTGGACCCGGCGCATCGACCTCTTCGCCATGGACCGCGTCGTCGTGCCCATCCACCTTGGCAACCACTGGTGCCTCGCCGTCATCAACCTCCAGGACCGGTACACGCAACAGCACAGCACACCCACACGAGTCCGCACGCACGTGCTCGTGTGCCGCGCGCGCTTGCTGACAGACACAACACGACACCACCAACGCAACAGACGGTTCGAGTACTACGACTCGCTGGGGTCGTCAAACCGCGAGTGCCTGCAGCGGCTGCGGCGGTACCTGCAGGACGAGGCGCGGGACAAGAAGAAGATCGAGCTCGACCTGGCGGATTGGGGCGACCACCAGCCCAAGGACATCCCCCTCCAGAAGAACGGCTACGACTGCGGTGTGTTCGCCTGCAAGTTCGCTGAGTGCATCGCCTCTGGCCGTCCCTTCTACTTCTCCCAGGTTTTTTTTTGCTTGTCCGCCTCCCTCCAATGTGCGCCACCGAAGCTGACTCTATGTGTCACACGCACACCTGCTACAGGTGGACATGCCCATCTACCGAAAGCGGATGATGGTGAGCATCCTCACCAAGACTCTCACCTAACCCATTGTACGCATGTAGCTGTGTAATTGGGCTAAATCATTTCCCCACTTTTATTGTACATTTTCGCTTCGGAGTTGGCGGTACGCAATATATAAATCGTTATAAAAAACAAAAAACAAAACATAATGGTGCAATAGCCAAGGACATGAGGGGATGAGTCGCCGGTCGCGATGTCCGCGGATGATTGCGATGTCCGCGGGAGGTCGCGATTATCGCGGATGTCCGGGATGTCCGCGGAGGTCGCGATTATCCGCGGGAGGTCGCGATGTCCGCGGGAGATCGCGATGTCCGCGAAAACAAGCCATCCCCACAAGCAGGTGGGGCGTGGCCTTGCCAAAACGGCTTTGAAATGCCCTAAAAACGAGTTGCTGCCGATAAAAACAGGGAGGACTTGTTACGCGTGCAATTCGTTTTACTAGTTTCGGTTGCATCCCCTCAGCGCGTAGCTCTCGCGTAGCTCGCGCGCAGCTCCCATGCAGCTCGCGCGTAGCTCGCACATAGCT